GGACATGATTAACACCCTTAAGACAATGCACAATATCAATGGGGAGACGTTCACCTCCCTGACCAAGGCCCTTCTCCCCCGATTGCTCAGTTTGGCCGGGTGGCCAGCTCTAGGAAGAGTCTTGGTGGTTCCAAACTTCTTCCATTTCAGAATGATGGAGGCCACTGTGGTCTTGGGGACCTTCAATACTGCAGACATGTTTTGGTACCCTTCCCCAGATCTGTACCTCGACACAATCCTGTCTCAGAGCTCTACGGACAATTCCTTAGACCTCATGGCTTGGTTTTTGCTCTGACATGCACTGTCAACTGTGGGACCTTATATAGACAAGTGTGTGCCTTTCCAAATCACGTCCAATCAATTGAATTTACCACAGGTAGGGCTGTTGCGATGACTGTATTACTGCCACACCGGCGGTCACGAGTCATGAAGGCAGTCAAATTCCATATGACCGTTTAGTCACGGTAGCTAGGCTTCTCCAAACTCTGATGCTGCTGATGGTCATTAGTAGCCTATGAAACCTACTAACTGCCTGGTACTCAGCACTCTATTGTCCCTCTAATCACTCTGACATCAATGCAAATGTAATCAAACACTTCATGAGGCCCATGAGCTCATGTTACGCAACATTTCTATAGGCTATGCAATTGAGTGAGAAAACAGTGAAGGACTCTACTAGAAAGAGGAGGATCCCATCAGCTTTCTATAGGCTAGGCCTACTGTATTTATTTCTCAACTTTCCTAATATTAAGCACATTGCTTATATTTACAACAGGAGAATAGCCTACGTGGCTGGCATGAAAATGAACCGCAGGAAAAACGTTCTCCATTCGGTATTTAGTGCATAGATGACTTATTTTTTCCCGGCTGCCCCTGTTTCTAGACACATTATAACGTGGCATTTTATTGTACCCAGCACAAGGTGCACCTGTGTTTAATCAGCTTCTTAATATGCCACACCTTTGGGTGGATGGATTATCTTGGCAAAGGAGAAATGCTCACTAACAGGGATGTAAACAAATGTGTGCCCAGTTTGAGAGAAATAAGCTTTATGTACGTATGGAAAACTTCAGGGATCTTTTATTTCAGCTCATGAAACATGGGACCAACACTTTACATGTTGCGTTTATATTTTTGTTCAGTGTAATTGGTAGATCAACCTTTACTTGCGGACGTTTTCCACACTGCCAGACAGTAAATCCTAACTTTAACCATTAGTGGGGAAAATGCTCAACTGACCCACGATCAGCATCTAGGGGCAATGTCACCCTACTCCATTTCTCAACCTGAGAATCACTTTGTTTTTCTGTGCTGAGGACATGTAGAATGACTGGTTCAGTGACCTGGTGAATACATTTACAGAGGTTTAACGGTCTGTTAGATGTAGCATGGAGATGACAGCCCATGACCTGAGTCTAATTACCTTGTTGAAACGGCCAGTGTTAAGCAAGCTGGGAACATCAAGCTGACCAACAACCGTACATTCATTTAGGTAAAGCCTTTAGCTAGGTTTATATGGATGGAGTCTCTAGGAAAATAGTAGAGGGAGTGTTGAAAATATGCCGTTGAAATATTAGATTTGGAGGTTTTATATTCATTTTGTTTGAGTGGGTCACATTCAGAAACATGTGAAATGAGACTTGTGACCTCTGAACGATTTCAAATGCATGCAAATTATTATAATCCATCTCCAAACATATTGTCACCTCAAAATCATTACTCATTTGGTGAGCAGGTGTCCATCTCTGTTTTTCTCACCGACTCGAGTTTTGAAAGATTTTCTAAAGTAGCATACTACCTAAATTTTAGCTTTGTCTGTAGCAAACTAGATACTTGCAAGCTCTTGTGCTCGCTGATGCACAGATTTCCAATTGCCTCCCCCCTTTCACCAATGACCTCCCCTCCCCCGCTCTGCTCGCAGCACCGTGTGATAACACATTCCTCCCAGCTGCAGTCATCTGAGATTCACTGCAGGTGATGTCATAATGGACAAGCCTAACCACCTGTGAAAGGATGCCAGCCAGTCCACAGAGGGAGAGTGAGAAAAAGAGTGAGAGAACTCTGCCAAGCCAATTAGATCTTTGTTTTGCATTTCATTCACCATGGTGGAACCTCTCCCGCTCTATCAGGTCTTTCAGTCAGTCGTTCTTCTTACGGGGAAATGGATACTGTATAGTTTCTCTAAATTAAAATATATTGATATGGCCATATCTGTTTTCCAAATACGTTCCCTTAAACTGAAACAAAAAAATCCAACAAGATAATTCTGTCCCAGAGGAAAAAAGTATTCAGATTAGAGTGGAGTAGTTATTTTCAATTGTGACTTCTTCCTTTCTGTTCGAAGGTTCGTTATAGTAATCATGATAGTTATAGTAACTGTAATTGTATGACATTAGTTCAGTCCAAGCTGTGGGCTTAGCTTGGCCACAGATATGTTGTGTGGGAGGTTTGGACCTTCTTTGCCGTCACTGATAGGCCTCTGTCAACAGAGTGGCTATGAATAGCCCTGACCACCAGGAAACATGCTGGTCATCTGCTAAAGGACTTATTCATAATGCCAGGATAATCAGTGAAATGACACCTGGCTCATATTCTAAACACTACCATCACCACAGAGAATGGAGGAATAAAGGGAGTATCTTGTTGCAGAACTATATTTGTCATATCATAATTGGTCCTATGGGCTCTGGTCAAAAGTAGTGTACTATAAAAGGAAAAAGGTGCCATTTGGAATGCAAACTTGGTCTCCTCATTAAGATTATCTGGATACCTTGAAGTAGCGTTGTTGTACACTCTTTCCTGAAATGCAGTGGTAGCTAATGGTAAATATTTGCAGTGGGTCATGCAACCATTTGACTCCTGTATTGCTGTTAATCTGGAGCCTTTTCTACTTGACAAGCTGCCAGGCAAATTGTGTGAGGGCCACCCTGGACCTCGTGACACAGGTTTTATGACCAGTGGTATTTGCATGATTCCACTTTAACAAGACCACAAGTGTTGCTCCCAGCCAGGAGCTATGGTCTGTGTCCCAAATGGCACCCAATTCCCTATATAGTGCACTACTTTTCATCAGGGCCCATAGGGGTGGGTGAGACATCTGTACTTTAATGAAGAACACTGCAGTGCTATAAATATCTGAAACCTCTCTGCAGGATTGGGCTTCTGGTGCAGCAAACTCATCCCATTGTGAAAATATACAAGTCTACTTTTACCATACCACCTTAGGATCTGGTCCCTATTAATTACACTGTGTACTATGGATGTAGCAGTAGCATCCGACAAAGAACAAAATCCAAATTTCTATCTATCACTTTACTTCCCTTTGCATTCAAGGGGAAGATGATTATGAACTAGTCTGGCACTAGTTTGACATTGTTCCCAAAACAAACATTTTCCCTTGCATTGTTGCCTTGTTTCTATGGGAACATGGTTGGTCGCAAGATGGACAAGAGACAATTGGGTCAGGCAAGACAACAGTTTGTGTGTTGGAAGTGGAAAGAAGCCCTGCTAACATAGTATAATTCTATATACATGTACCTTTGGTCTAAAAGGCTGCTGCAAATCTACTGCAAATCTCACAAATACAATTCCCCTTCTCTGTTGGAGGAGAAAGGGGGGAAAAAGAGAGCAGGGGAACAGGAAAGAGTGTGAAAAGCCTTCCACCCCCCCTGGCTTGAACCCCTCCTCCTCTGTGGCCAAACAAGGGCAGCACCATTCTGTGCCATAAATGGGAGGAGGGATGACATCACCACCAGCTAGTGGAGCAGGGCTAGTTTTACACAATTCATTGTCCATTGATGACATGTTTGGAATGTGATGGCCAATTCCTCGTGGATTGGGGGCCCTCTCATGACCCAGTGAGAGAGAGCCGATGCCTGCCTGCATACAGCTCAGCACCTGCACTATCCAAAACACGCTAGGCAAGGACCTAATGAATCCATCCCGACTAGTAGTGGGTAAGTCTGAGAGTTTGAGCTGTTGAAACTTTAAGAAACAGCAGTCTGGCTGCTACAGTATCATGTGCATTGTTAGACCGGCTCCTGGTGGATTTGGTTACCGTGCAGGGAGAATTTGTTTGTAATGCAAAGCAACAGATGACAATGATCAGGACTCGCTCCTGATTACGCACTGAGTTTCTAGTGTCGTTGTGTGAGCACCATATGGAGGGGACCTGTTGCAGGCAGCAGACTCTCTATAGCAGTTGCACAAAGATATAGAGACTCCCGCAGAGATTAGTTAAACATCTACTCACATTATTCCGTTCAGGTTCACTCAGTGTTTTAAGGACACTGGTTGTGTTTTTATAGTTTAGCTAGCATGTCTCTGATATTGTGGTATTTTGCTCTGTGTGAAGGGCAGGGTTGTCCCTGTTGGGGAGAATCACATGAGTGTTCAGGCTTCTAATCTGACCCCCCACCCCCTCCTTTGTTTTCTCTTCTATCATGCCTTTGCCATTTCTTCTGTTTGCCTGCCTCCCATCCGGGATCCCACCACTGCCCACAGGGTTCTGGGCAGGGGATAAGGCACTAATTCTGAGTCTGGTCAGGCTCCTCTACTCTGGGAAATGTTACTTAACTTTGAAGAATTGTGAGACATTTTAAGAGTTAAAATACTTTTTTATTTTCATTGAAATGCTTTTTTTCACAGACTATTTGCAGTTTACAAACTCAAAGGTTCAATATTTGTAAGTACTATGTAGCAGTAAGTACCTAGGCCTACATTGTTCCTGTACACTAATTACATCAGCAGGAACAATGTAGTAGATGCACAGTTTCACAGTCTCTTAATATAGAGGGGGATCAATTATTACATCAGGTGAAACATCTGAATAAAGCCTATCAAATGGAGAATTTACATTTCAATCACACTTCATCTCTCTCTTGCTCTCTGTGTCTCTGTCACTTTCTCTCTCCCTCTCCCCCTCTTCTCTCTCTCTCAGATTAAAGAGGCTGCTGGAGCAGGAGAAGGCGTACCAGGCTCGTAAAGACAAGGATCACAGCAGGAGGCTAGACAAGGTCCGTGAGGAGCTGGTCAAACTCAAGTCCTTTGCCCTGATGCTGGTGGATGAGCGGCAGCTCCACATTGAGCAGATCGACCAGCAGAGCCAGAAGGTCCAGGACCTTAGCAGCAAGCTCCAGGAGAGAGAACACCGGCTGGTCGCCGTAAGCGGCACCGCCAAGGAGGACGGCCAGAAGGTCCTCAGGCTAGAGGCGGAGCTGGAGTGCAAAGCTGCCAAGTTCACCCAGGAGCATGAGGAGATGACTGCCAAGCTGGCCAACCAGGAGTCCCAGAGCCGCCAGCTCCGCCTGAAGCTGGCAGGCCTGGCCCACAGGATCGAGGAGCTGGAGGAGAGCAACAAAGCACTGCAGAAGTCAGAGGAGGACCTCCTGGAGCTAAGGGACAAGATCAGCAAGGGGGAATGTGGGAACTCCAGCCTCATGTCAGAGCTGGAGAACCTGCGCAAGAGAGTGCTGGAGATGGAGGGCAAGGACGAGGAGATCACCAAGACGGAGAGCCAGGCCAGAGAGTTGAGGAAAAGGCTGCAGGACGAGGAGACCACCGGCCAGGAGCTGAGGCTGGAGGTGGAGAAAATGCAGAAGAGAATGGTGGACCTGGAGAAACTGGAGAGGGCTTTCAACACGAGCAAATCAGAGTGTGCAACACTTCATATTAACCTTGAAAGAGAGAAAGGACTGGCAAAGGACTTAGCCGGTGAGCTGGACACAGTGAAAAACCGTGTGAAAGAACTGGAGAACTCTGAGTCGAGACTTGAGAAGGCAGAGATGGGCCTAAAGGACGACCTGATGAAGCTGAAGTCATTTACAGTGATACTAGTGGATGAGAGAAGGAACATGACTGAGAGAATAAAACAGGAGGAGCAAAAGAGCGATGATTTAAATAAGATGTTCAAAACTGAGCAGAGTAAAGTTATGGATGTCACAGAAAAGTTGATTGAGGAGAGCAAAAAGCTCCTTAGACTGAAATCAGAAATGGAGGTAAAAGTGACGTCTCTTACTAAAGAGAAAGATGAACTGAAAACGAAACTTGCAAGTGAAGAGGAAAAGTGCAGGGATCTTAGCTCTAAGGTCGGTGTAATAAAAAAACGAATGGACGGGCTAGAGGAGGCAGAAAGGGTATTGTTAAAAATCAGCACCAATAAGGACAACAAGAGACCCCCAGACGAGGACAACAAATTCAAGGAGCTAACGCAGGAAATTGAAAGGCTCAAAAACCGTCTCAAACAGCTAGAGGTGGTGGAAGGTGACCTGATGAAGACAGAGGACGAGTATGACTTACTGGAGAAGAAGTTTAGAATGGAGCAGGACAAGGCCAATGCCCTCTCTCAGCTGCTGGAGGAGATGAAGAGTCAGACCGCCAGGAACAAAGCCATAGAGAAGGGAGAGGCGGTGAGCCAGGAGGCTGATCTGAGGATGCGCTGCAAGATGGAGGAGGCAAGGACCAGAGACCTGCAGGCAGATGTTCAGGCCCTCAAAGAGAAGATCCACGAGCTGATGAACAAGGAGGACCAGCTCTCCCAGCTGCAAGTGGACTACTCCCTCCTCCAGCAGAGATTCCTGGAGGAGGAGGACACAAAGAAGAGCCTGAGCCAGGAAGTGGTCAACCTCACCAAAGAGCTGGAGGTCACCAAGCGCTACAGCCGCGCCCTGCGTCCCAGTATGAATGGAAGGAGGATAGTAGACGTCCCTGTCACCTCCACCGCAGTCCAGACAGATGTGGTGGTCAGTGAACCTGCCGAGGAGGACACGCCTGCAGTGTTCATCAGGAAATCTGTCCTGGAGGAGAACCATATCATGAGCAACCTGAGGCAGAGGGGTCTGAAGAAGCCTGTAACCGTGCTGGAGCGCTACCCCCCTGCAGCCACCGAGTTGGGCATGAGAAAATCCTGGATTCCCTGGATGAGGAAGAAGGATGCAGTGACGATCACTCAGACCACCCCAGAGAATACCCCAACCCCTCAGGACAACGGGGACTCCTCCACTCGTCCACCCGAGCTGTCCATGTCCCAAAAGCCAGGCCAGCCGTTGCACATTCGAGTAACCCCCGATCACGAGAACAGCACTGCCACTTTGGAGATCACCGGCCATCGTGCTGAGGACTTCTTCTCCAGCGCCACCATCATCCCCACCTTGGGCCTGCAGAGGCCTCGCATCACCATTGTTCCCAAACCCACCACCATGTCCTCAAAGAGCAAGCCGGGTGAGGGCATGATGGGGGGGCCTGAGCGGTGCAAGTCTCCAGTCACCATCACCACCATCTCCAGGGCCAAGTCCCCAGATAGGAGTAAGGGCTCCTCCTACTCAGACTCGAACAGACCCCTCTCCCCCGTCTCCATCATCACAGTGAGCACCACTCCAGTGGCTGAGGCCTTTGCCTCCGCATCCCCAGAGCCCCATGACATGAGCACCATGGGCCGGGCTGTGTTCAAAGTGACCCCAGAGAAGCATACATTGCCTATGCCCGTCAGGAAATACAACTCCAACGCCAGCATAATCACCACCACGGAGGACAACAAGATCCACATCCACCTGGGACCTCAGTTCAAGAGGCCATCAGACATCAGCAGTAGCAGCCCTACACTGACAGTCAGTCCCCTTAGTGTGAGCACAGAGAGCAAGGAGGCACCCACAGGTACGGTGCTGCGCTCCCCACGTCACCCCAACAACACCACCACCGCTCCTGGGAAGACCACCCCCAGCAAATTGACCAGCAGCATCACCATCACCCCCATCACCTCGGCACCGTCCAGGCCAACTCAGTCTGTGGTGAGTAGTCAAAATCGAGTACATTTACATAAGCCCTCTGTTCTTTCTGCCGTCTATCTCTCTCCCTTTTATGATGATTTGAACAAGGGCTGTCTCACTAACAGAGAAGCTTTTTATTGCATAATTTTCTATGTAACCGTTTTCAGCTGGTATGCTGAATACATTCTATATCATTGTTAGTAATAAAGTTGTTCAATTACATGACCTTCGTTTCAGACAAACCATCTAAATGATATCCAATCTTTTGTATTTCAGTTGCTTCTGAAATGTTTCAAAATGATATCAGGTGGTGTCTGCTCCCTAGATAGCACTCTTTCCAGGTATACCAAAATCAAATACACTCCTTTTACCTATGACCAATACTAACACTGGAATGAATTGACACGCATATCCCCACCTTCCAAAGGCCACTCTCAAAGGATCCTGTGTTGACACACCGGTTTCTACTGGCACAAACTGACATGTTCCTCCCTTTTAACCGAAAATGGACCAGTGATGACCAATTTGGATGTTTGACTTCAAAGTGGGCTTACCTGCACATCAGCAATAAGACCAGAATACTGTAGTATATAATATCCTCTCCCAAGCTCTGTTAACTCAATGCAAACCGTTTTTGTGATGCTAGCTTTGAAATGCACTTTCTTAATGCTGTGAAGGGTGAAAGGTGAGCTATGGTAACATTGTGGTATTTCATACAGCTAGATTTAAAGAGGCTCTTTATGGATGGAAGCTTTTTGAAGGATAAGAAATGCAGCACCTCAATTCTATTGCAATTCTAATCACAATCAATATCCAATATGGCCAACTCTTGTCATCCCTCTTGAACCTGTGTAAATGGATTTATTTAATTTACATGTAATTCTGCACCACAGTTCTAACAATGACAAAACAGTGGTCTTATGGCAACAAGTATATAGCATGCCATCTTGAATTTACTTCCACCAAATGTACACAAAGTAAATCGTTGCTATTGTGCTTGTCTACGATAATACTTTAAAAACCTTTTCTGTCTGTGCTTTTGTCTTATGTTGTGTGAATCCTTTCAGCCCGGGGCGGATGTGCAGTCAACTCGGGCCGCGGCCACACGAATCCCTATGTCAAAAGGTATGAAAACAGGCAAGGCAGTTGTGACAGGCGTCTCCACTGTGACACGGTTAGAGTCGCGAGCCGAGTGCCAGTCAATGAAAATTGAACTGAGGAGGTCGACAGTCTGCAGCTCTACCTCCGCAGGGGGAGGGAAGTGCTGAGGGCCACACGCTGCCATGGAAACGCTGTAGCCTCACTATCTTTCTATGGACTCAGTCACCCATCATTCAATTCTGACCAGTCGGTTGCCAGCCAAAAACATATAGAATAGGATACTGTAGCAGGCACCTTGATCTGCTCACAGGAACATGGAAAACACAGAATAGCTCTATCACTGACATGTCCCTTTCCTCCTTTTTAAACATTGGGGTAAAATGCATTGAAATTAGATTGTATTGTAATTATGTACGTTTTCAAAAAAGATTTTTATATCCATGTTGAAATGCTTTTTGTTTTGAATGACACATTACTAATCCCTCACCTGGGTTGTTGTCACACTGAGTTGTTGATATTCTTGTTTATTTCACAATTTCTTATGGAGGTTTCCGAATACAGTCGCTCTAACGGGTTTCACATGTGAAATACATTTTGATCAGTCATCAACGACACTAGTTTGTGGCACCAAAAAAATTAAAAATAAAACATTATTTGGAATAAAGTATGACAGTGTTGTTTGTTTATTATTCACGTGGAGATATTATGACAATGCAAAATCTTCTTCATGTTCACTAAACAAAGAATTTAGTGAAAGCAGGCGAGTAACAATCAGGAAACCTCCATAGTGCTTAATAGTCATACATCTATAAAATGGTTTAGAGCATGTTAAGCACACTAAGCAAAATCAACAAAAGCCTAATCTGTAATCTTGCTTGTTAATAATAATAATAATAATAATAATATGCCATTTAGCAGACGCTTTTATCCAAAGCGACTTACAGTCATGCGTGCATACATTTTTTTTGTGTATGGGTGGTCCCGGGGATCGAACCCACTACCTTAGCGTTACAAGCGCCGTGCTCTACCAGCTGAGCTACAGAGGACCACGTTCATAATGCTAGTAGGCTAGTACTGTGCATCCATACAAAAGGAATGAAATACTATAGTCAATCAGAATAAAAATGTGAACAGAACTGGGATTTGATCATCAATTTATGAATTTCCTTAATGATTTAAATACCTGATATTTTGGAGTAGGCTTTCATTAATAAAGGCTTCGACAGAGTTCACAGCTACAGAGCCACAATCTGTGGAAGTAACATAAAATCCATAATGTATCACACATCAAAGGTTTGATTACCTAACAAGCAAATGAAATGAAAAACAAAAGTGACCTGCAATGACAGTAAAGTGATACTGTTTGTACTTGAAACTGTCCGTTGATTACAGTCATGCATAGTGCTAATGGGAGAGGCTTTTCCTTGTTGAGTCATTGAACTTTACTCAGTGACTGCATCCCAAATGGCAACCTATTATCTACACTGAGCGTACAAAACATGAAGCACACCTGCTCTTTCCATGACAGACTGACAAGGTGAAACCTATGATCCCATGTTGATGTCACTTGTTAAATGCACTTCAAATCAGTGTGGATGAAGGGGAGGCGATACACTACATGACCAAAAGTATGTGGACACCTGCTCGTCGAACATCTCATTCCAAAATCATGGGCATTAATATGGAGTTGGTCCCCCCTTTGCTGCTATAACAGCCTCCACTCTTATGGGAAGGCTTTCCACTAGATTTTGGAACATTGCTGCAGGGAACACTGCTTCCATTCAGCCACGAGCATTAGTGAGGTCGGGTACTGATGTTGAGCGATTAGGCCTGGCTCGCAGTCGGCGTTCTAATTCATCCTAAAGGTGTTCGATGGGGTTCCCTTCACTGGAACTAAGGGGCCTAGCCCGAACCAAGAAAAACAGCCCCAGACCATTATTCCTACTACACCAAACTTTATAGTTTGGACTGCCAGATGGTGAAGCGTGATTCATCACTCCAGAGAACGCGTTTCCACTGAGTCCAATGGCGGCGAGCTTTACACCACTCCGGCCGGCGCTTGGCATTGACATGGTGATCTTAGGCTTGTGTGCGGCTGATCAGCCGAACAGTTATTGTGCTGACGTTGCTTCCAGAGGCAGTTTGGAACTCGGTAGGGAGTGTTGCAACCGAGGACAGACTATTTTGATGAGCTTCAGCACTCGGCTTGGGTCGCCTACCATTTCGCGACTGAGCCGTTGTTGCTCCTAGACGTTTCCACTTCACAATAACAACAGTTGCCCGGGCAGTTCTAGCAGGGCAGAAATTTGACTAACTGACTTGTTGGAAAGGTGGCATCCTATAACTGTGTCACGTTGAAAGTCACTGAGCTCTTCATTGAGGCCATTCTACTGCCAATGTTTGTCTATGGAGATTGCAATTTTATACACCTGTCAGCAACGGGTGTGGCTGAAATAGCCGAATCCACTAATTTTAAGGGGTGTCCATATACTTTTGTGTATATACAGTGCACTCAAAGTATTCAGACCCCTTGACTTTTTCCACATTTTGTTACATTACAATCTTATTCTAAAATGGATTAAATAAAATAAATCATCAATTTACACACAAAACCCCATAACGACAAAGCGAAAACAGGTTTATAGAAATTTAAAAAATTATTTACATATGGTTGAAGTCAGAAGTTTACATACACCTTAGTCCCATGGTGTTTATACTTGCATACTATTGTTTGTACAGATGAATGTGGTACCTTCAGGCGTTTGGAAATTGCTCCCAAGGATGAACCAGACTTGTAGAGGTCTACAATTCTTTTTATGAGGTCTTGGCTGATTTCTTTGGATTTTCCCATGATGTCAATCAAAGAGGCACTGAGTTTGAAGGTAGGCCTTGAAATACATCCACAGGTACACCTCCAATTGTCTCAAATGATGTCAATTAGCCTATCAGAAGCTTCTAAAGCCATGACATAATTTTCTGGAATTTTCCAAGCTGTTTAAAGGCACAGTCAACTTAGTGTATGTAAACTTCTGACCCACTGGAATTGTGATACAGTGAATTATAAGTGAAATAATCTGTCTGTAAACAATTGTTGGAAAAATTACTTGTCATGCACAAAGTAGATGTCCTAACCGACTTGCCAAAACTATAGTTTGTTAAGAAGAAATGTGTGGAGTGGTTGAAAAACTAGTTTTAATGTCTCCAACCTAAGTGTATGTAAACTTCCGACTTCAACTGTAGGTATTCAGACCCTTTGCTTTGAGACTCGAAATTGAGCTCAGGTGCTTCCTGTTTCCATTGATAATCCTTGATGTTTCTACAACTTGATTGGAGTCCACCTGTGGTAAATTCAATTGATTGGACATGATTTGGAAAAGCACACAACTGTCTATATAAAGGTCCCACAGTTGACAGTGCATGTCAGAACAAAAACCAAGCCATGAGGTCGAAGGAATTGTCAGTAGAGCTCAGAGAAAGTATTGTGTCGAGGCACTGATCTGGGGAAGGGTACCAAAAAATGTCTGCAGCATTAAAAGTCCTCAAGAATACAGTGGCCTCCATCATTCTTAAATTGAAGAAGTTTGGAACCACCAAGACTCTTCCTAGAGCTGGCCGCCCGGCCAAACTGAGCAATCAGGGGAGAAGGGCCTTGGTCAGGGAGGTGACCAAGAACCCAATGGTCACTCTCACAGAGCTCCAGAGTTCCTCTGTGGAGATGGGAGAACCTTCCAGAAGGACAACCATCTCTGCAGCACGCAGCAAATTAGGCCTTTATGGTAGTGGCCAGACCGAAGCCACTCATCAGTAAAAGGCACATGACAGCCCGCTTGGAGTTTGCCTAAAGACACCTAAAGGACTCTGGCCATGAGAAACAATATGCTCTGGTCTGATGAAACCAAGATTGAACTCTTTGGCCTGAATGCCAAGTGTCACGTCTGGAGGAAACCTGGCACCATCCCTACGGTGGCAGCATCATGCTGTGGGGATGTTTTTCAGCGGCAGGGACTGGGAGTCTAGTCAGGATCGTGGGAAAGATGAATGGACCTCAGACTGGGGTGAAGGTTCACCTTCCAACAGGACAACGACCCTAAGCACACAGCCAAGACAACGCAGGAGTGGCTTCAGGACAGGTCTTTCAATGTCCTTGAGTGGCCCGGACATGAACACAATCGAAAATCTCTGGAGAGAGCTGTTCCTAATGTTTGGTATACTCAGTGTATATATTTTAAGTATTTCTCATTTTATTCAGACAGGGATAGCATGAAATGAGTAGTCGGAGGCCAAGACTTGTACCCATGTTGTAGTAGTGTGCAACTCAATATTAGGAAATGTTTGGTATACTCAGTGTATATAGTGTACTACTTTTGACCAGGGCCCATAGGCCTATGGTCAAAAGTAGTGCACTATATAGGGAGGTTGAGAGACCAATAGAGTGAAAACAGGAAGAGACAGGTCATGTTTTGGCCCAAGTTCTTGATATGATCTAGTCCTGCTGCTGTATAACTCTCTGGATGGAATTGATGAGCTTCCTGGGGACCCACCACAGAATGGAGGGAAAATGTGTTGTGTACTGCATTATCTCAGGGCTGGTTCTCAATAAAGGAGCTTGTTTGGTCTATTCAGGGCCAAGAAGGCCTTAGGGGAAATTCTACATTTCTATACAAAATAGTTTACGGTTACATTTGTTTCAAATCAAATTAGTCAAGTACACAGTTTACTGCAGGTATAAAAGGTGCAGTGAAATGCTTGCGTGCTAGCTCCCTCAACATTACGGTACAATATAGACACCAATAATAATCAAAAGCCAATCAAAATAACAAGCCATTGGAGGAAAGTAGTATGCATAATACAACTGATATAAACAATATGATATACAGTATATATTATGAATGTGCTGTGTCAAGTATGACTTAAAGTGGATAGTGTCTTGGTCACATAGTTGAAATAGTATATAATAGAACAGCAGCATTTACTGTGTGTGCTTGTGTGTAAGGGTTGGATGTGTGGCAAGTCAGTGCAAACAGTCTCTAAAGTGCAGGTCTGAACAGGTAGACCGCTAGGGTTAGTGGTTCAACAGTCTGGCGGTAGAAGCTGTCTCTGAGCCTGTTGGTCCGAGACCCGATACCTACTGCCAGATGGTAACAGAGTGAACAGTCCGTGGCTCAGG